TGGGGGGGGGGGGGGAGCCATCAAAAACTATCCTGAGTCTCTGAACTCGGGGGCGGTCGACCGTAACGGTCGACCGCAAACTGACATATGAAATTCCAGATTGAAAACTGTTTTCTGATTTTAAAACCTTGTTTAAAAATATCAAACAAATTCCAAAAATTATGAAATTTTAGGAAATGATTATAGACATGATAATACACAAGCTATAAAAACTGGTTTTCAGAAAGGACCTCCCAAATAAAAAATATCATTATTTTGCAAAATAGTCCAAAACATGAAAATGTGAACATATGAGTTTTGATATTTTAGCTTAACCATGTTTTGAAACAATACAAAATAATTTTATAGACTTAATAAAAGATGTATATAATTATTGTTAAGTCCAAAACCTAAGAATATAATATTTTCACAAAATTGCATATTTTTGCAAACTTTTCAAAAGCAATAAATATGATTTCATTAAATATAAACTTGATATTGATAAAATCATATATAAGCATATAAACATGAAACAAAAATATATTTTCTAATTATATTCAATTGTTTCATATTTAAACTTGAAAACTATCAAACCAAAACATATATGTATATATATAACTATATATATACAAAACCAAAACGTGTATGTGTGTATATGAATGAGCTTAAAGTACTAACACACATAATATAAAACCTAAAACTAAATGTACCCAAGCTATGATCTTGATCTTCAATAAGCTTGACTTGGTACACTTTGCGGATGAAGCTTGAACTTGTATCTTTAACTTGAATGTACATTGCTTCACTCCACTATACCACTAACCTTCATTGGATATGATCGTGAATGCGCAATTCCATCCATCCTCCAACATATTGTTTGTCTACAATAAATAAAAAAACACGAATACTAGTGTATGTTGGAAAAATTGAAATAAAGAGAATAAAAGAAAATTGACTTGTATTTCTTCGATCCCGGTTACAATTTGATTACAAAAGAGAGGAGAATGAATTTGGTTCTCCCCTTTGTTTAAAACTGAGTTCTTCTCGCTAGCGATGGAGTACCTCCTTCGATTGTTCGCGTCGAATTTGCTCTCCGTTGACGATCTGACCGTCTCTTATCTCGTGGGAACAATGAACTTCTGTGGAAAGTTTGATGAGTAACTCTTAACGAGTTTAAAAACTCTGGACGAGTTAGAACTCTGTGAAGAGAGTTGTTAGAACCGAAAATTCGGTTAATGACCAAGCAGATATTCTGTTGTTGAAAAATCTTCTTAGATTTGATCTTCTGAATTTGATTCAAATCTTCTATCTCCAAGGAATTCGCCTCTCCTACCTCTCTGTGCGGTTGAGATCGTGAAGAATTCTCTCTGCTGCTGCCTCTCCGTTCCAAAAAGCCAGCCTTTAACTCAGTTGAGTTTGTTGAGTTTTTATAGTTGGATAAGAGGTTGTAACTGCCCTCTAAATCCGCTCCTAAGTGGGCGTGATTTCCTCAGATCGTGGGGAAACAGTTCTGAAACCGTTCGACTCGTATTTGAACGAGTCAAACGCCCAATCTGGCATTCAGAACCCAACGTCGCCTCTTAGAATTGAGACGCGAGGTTGGGTGTTGGTTGAACATCAATGAACGCGAGGGTCGCTCGCGTTTGGCTTGTTATAGCTTGGAAACGCGGGGGTCGGTGTTGGTTGAACCTCCAGAACGCGAGAGTCGCTCGCGTTTGGCTTGTTATAGCTTGAAAACGCGGGGGTCGTCTGCATTTCCAAAATTATGACGTGGGGATGACTTCCGCGTTTTAGAAGGGGTTAGTTGATTTGTAACCTCTCCTACAGAGCGTTGCAAGGACCGTTGTTCAGTAATCCTAGCTTTAGCTGTTGTGGGTGTGAAAGTCGTCAGATTGTAACTTTCACTATAGATTGTGGAGACTGCTGAATAGAGTTTTCATCAGTTGTCGGAAGCGTCGTTGGATTGTAACTCTTCTCGATCTATGTGAAAAGTCCTCCATTTGCAGCTTTTATTTGTTGGCATGAAAGCTATCTGATTGTAGCTTTCATTGTTGGAACTTGACGGGAATCAATCATCCATAGTGATTTTTAGACGAATATTTGCCCACAGCTCTCTACCAAGCAACTCACTAACTAAGTCCAACCTTTTTATTTCTGAAATCATTACACTGCTCATCAGCATCTCTAATAGTTGCTAATATAATATTAATCATGCTGTTGTCGCAGCCATCAAGATCAATCATCTCATAGATGAGGCCGTGTTTATAGCGGTTGCAGAGTTGCAGATGCAGTAATTAGAAAGTCGTCTGATTGTAACTTCCATCGTCGGGGCTTGTTAGGGATCAGCTATCCATTGTGATTTTTAGACAGCCTACAACTAGACAAACAACATTAGTGGTAAATTATTTGTTAAACATCATCAAAACAAAGAGGCTAACATTTTCTTGGGATATAACCACAACTATTTATATTTTTGTTTGTTTTGACCCAATGAGAATTTAGTTTAAGTACTTGAAAATTCTTGATTTCTATAGGCTACAACAGTGTTATCAATGCGCGAGGCGCAAAGCGGAGCGCAAAGCATCTTTACATGCACATGCGCAAGGCGCAACGCGATGCACGCGCCCAAGTGATGCAAGGCGCACACCGTCCACATAATGTTTCAAAATATATAATCAAACGCGAAAGAACATGTTTTTAGAATTCACATGAAAAATGTCATGATAAATAATATCTTACTACAAAATCACAATATAATGCATTAACTTCTAATGCTAAGTGCTAACACACAACATAGTAGCAAAATTCATAAATCAAATGTTAAATCAAGACTAATATTCAAGCAAAGGATTAGTAATGATCCTCAATTGAAGGCTACTAAAAAGGCCTAATGGATTTATTTTGCTTTTTGGGATATGGAATATCAAGTATAAAGACTCGATTGAAATGTTAACAAACAAAACTATTTGAGGATATGTACTACATGCACCCTACACAAAGTAAAGATGTACGCGAGGCGCAAAAGGTGCTGCTGCATTAGAAGTGGGGTACTTCACCATCGCCCCGTATCGTAAGGCGCATGAGGCGCAGTGAGGCGCGCGCCTTTGAAAACACTGGGCTACAACGCTTAATTTTTTGTTATTTTAGTCTTTCTCGGCCCCATAAACAATTTAGTATACAGACTACACAATTCGCAATTTTCATGGGCTATAATTTTTTTACCATATTTGTTCGTTTCGATGCTATGGCAATTAAGTGAGCGTACTTCAAAGTTATTGATTTCCAATTTTCCATGGGCTATAATGCATTCTTTTTTTGTTATTTTTCCGTCTTGACCCAATAGCAATTAAGCGCCAAAACTTCAAAATTTGTAATTTTTATGGGCTATATTCCATGTTTTTTTCCATTTTTCTATTACACACTAATGACAATTAAGTATGTGTATTTCAAATTCTCGATTTCCATGGAGCTACAATGCATGATTATTGGTCATTTTTGTCCACCTCAACCCTACAGCAATTAGACATGCAGGCATCAAACTTCTCAATTTCCAAAGAATAGTATAGTGCATGATTTTTTGTCATTTTTGTGCGTCTCGACCAATAGCACATATGCATGCTGGCTTCAAATTTTGCATTTTTTATGGGCTATAACCCATAATTTTTTTCTATTTCGACCCAATGACAAGTAAGTGAGGGTACTTGTATATTCTTTATTTCTATGAGCTGTAGTGCACGATTTTTAGTCATTTTTGTCAGTCTCGACCCAATAGCAATTAACCATGCAGAATTTACAATTCACAATTTTTATGGGCTATAACCCACTTTTTTTCATTTTTGTCTGTTTCGACCCAATGATAATTAAGTGCGTGTATTTCAAAATTCTCGATTTCCTTAGGCTATAACCACGATTTTTGTCATTTTTGTCTATCTTGACCTAATGGCAATTAGGCATGCAGACTTTAAAATTTGCAATTTTTAAATGCTTTAACCCACGATTTTTTCTTTTGTCTCTTCA